GCACCCCACCTCCTCCTAGACCCAGCAGGCAGCAAAACAAAGGCAGAGCGTGGGTGAAGCAGCATCCACGCTCCCAACTCACAAAGGAAAGTCTTTGTTTCCAAGAAGGACTTTCCCCTGCAAGTCGCTTTTTTTTTGTTTGCAATTAAGGAGATTGAGGGAGACGCTGGAAAACAATTTTTTTTAAAAATGAAGCTAATCAAGCTGATTAATCTCTAGCATCAAAGTTCCCTTCCCCCCCTCTGCTACCCCCGCCCCGGACAGGTTAGACAAACATCTGTCAGGAGCAGTTTAGGGCGCGTTGATCCTGCCTTGGAGCAGAGGTCGGACTCAGTGACCCCTTGCGATCCCTCAAAGCCCTCGTTTCTTTGATTCTGTATTTTCCGTATGACTAGCAGTTCCCGGTGTCTGATTTTCCGAGTGCTTGGCCCGAGACATCTCTGTGAACCATAACTGTGCTCGTTTCCCCCACCCCGGGTCACCCCCTGCACCCTGCTTTCTAAAGCAGTTTTCCTGCAAAGGCTGTAAAAGACGACAACAGATGCCCCCAGATTCTTGTTCTGGGTGACTGTCCCATGACTCCCTGTAGTTAGAAATTCCACTTTTTTGGCCAGAAGACACTAGGATTGTGCCTGAAGGATGTGGGCTGTGTGCGGTAAGTGCCTTTTTTTTTTTCCTTCTCGCCACCATTTTAGGACTAAGCAGCAGCAACCTGTTAGTTTTTGTAAAATCCTTCATATTGAAGAAGGGAAATGCATCCCTCATTCATTCGTTGGTGTTATTTATTTTTTTTTTTAAATATAGAAAGTGCCTGAGAACAGATTTTTTTCTTTGGGCTCGTGTGTCTAATTTGCTTTTTGAACATTTGTGGCATAAGCTAAGACTGGGGGAGGTGAAGCAGGCTATTGACAGGCTGTGGATATGCTGACACAGCACAAAGCCGCGCAGCGCTGCGATACCCAAGCGTGCTCCCAGCCAGATGGCTCGGGGAAACGAAGGCACGAGCTGCAGCAGGAGAGCTCCAGATGGACTCGGTTACCTTGCCCAGAGGTACCTGTCCTGGTATCACCAGCGTTGCCGTGATCATCATGATTTGAAGATGATTACATCTTAAAAAATAAATAAATAAATGGAAAATCTGAGCGTCCCCGGCAAAGGGCACGGATCAGAAGCAAACTGGGAAATTCCTCCTGGGCCAGGCAGGCATCTCTCCTGCGTGGATTCACGTTTAGATGACAGGCTTTTCATAACGAGCTTGTAGCAGTGATTCGAGGAACGAACTCTTTTGTTTCTTTTTTTAAAAATTAACTGCTCTACATGCTGAGAGTGTGAACGAGTGGGTTTGGGGTTTTTTTCCCCCCCTGTTTTGCAGAAATGTATCAATTTCATCTTCGGTTTTCACTGGAGAGTTTTCTTCTGAGAGGGCTTTGCTTTGATTAGGTCAAAGCACTTCATTTGGACTTCCCTGTTTTGGTGATGTTGGGATGTTGGAGGAGCAGATGTGGTTCAGCCCTGTCAAAAGTCCGTGTGTTGACCTTAGCAAAGCACTGGGGTTTGATGAGGCTGTGCTGACCTTTGCAACACCAAAAAAGACCCCAATTGTCTATGGTTTTGAAATTTGTGAGAAATTTCAAAATTAGAGAGGCTTTTTTTTTGGCTTTGTTCTTTTCCTCACTCATGAGATAGAGTTGCAAAATATGAAATTTCCTTTTGAGATCAAAACCCTCTCGTTTTCTTGTGCGACACTGTCACATCGATACCTGCTCCAAAACATTCCTTCAAAAGTCAAACACTCGGGGACCTCACCCCTCCCTGCGACCAGACTTCCTCTTTCTATTCTCCCACCTCACCTCTGATTTTTCTTGGATTTCAGGAGCCAAGCGAAGAGGTCTTTGGCTTCCTGGGTGTCCTGGTCCGATCTTTGCCCATTCCCAGCCGACACTTGGGGCTCAGCTTCTCTCTTGTATGACTCGATGGTGTTGCTGGAAAGGCGAAATGGGAAGATATCAACCCAAGAAGCCACAAGAGGGTGCCAAAATTCTGCTTTTGCGCAAAACCCAGCTCCCTCCCATTCCCTCCACCAGCAGCCAGGGAAGAAGTCGGTCTTGGACAGTGAGAGGGGTAGTAGTGCTGTGTGCCGGCAGAGCAGAAACCTTCCTAGGGCTTAAGAAAATAGAAGAAAAAAAGAAAACCAACTCCCTGGAGTATCATTGCTGCTGTTCAGGAAAAGTCTCCTTGGCTCTACGTTCTTCTGTAGCCATCAGTTGGCTGACGACACCTGTAAGTTGGGATCGTAGGAGCATTCAAAGCCTACACACTTACTCGCTTTTCTTCTCCCGTCTGGCTAGCAACCATTCCACAAAGTTCTTCTTCAGCATGTTGTCCATGGTGCGGCTGTAGTCGCTTGCCAGGGTGGCCTCAGAGTAGCGTCTTTGCACTGGTCTAGCACTGGGAGCCTTTATGCTTACGCTGGGGATAAGAGCACAGACACGGAGTGAGTCCTGCACGGACTGGGAGCGTTGTGCAGTTTTCCTTGGGTTGCACGTGGTGACCCACGGGGTCCCTACAGCCAGCAGGGTTTCGTGATCGCAGTCTCTCTTGGTCCAGGTGGTCTTGGTCTCCCTCCTCCAGTGAGCTGCACACCTAGGGCCAAGGAAATCTTTTCCCCATGTCCTCCAGAGGCTCAGGGGTGGATGGCAGGAGACTGGGGCTGACCCTGGGACCGGTGCTGATCTGACAGTGGAGACATAGTTGGTGGCTACCTAAGTTAGCAAAGGATTTCAAGGCTGATCCTATTTTAGTATTATGAGCTGCAGTTACAGCAGCTCCTACTGCCCTAATAAGGATTCTTTTGGATGTTCTCAGGTGGTAGTTGGAAATTTTGTAGGAGTCAGGGAAAGAGAGGGAAAGACTTTATTATATACCTGCTTTATGTAACTGGTCATATTTTCAGGAGCTTGTAAACACTGCATAATCCCTAGCCTCATTCATGTGAGATGATTACACCTCGTTTCTAGTTCTCAGCCAACCTCCTTCTCTTCCTGGTTGACTTCCAGCTTGTTCCTCCTAACCCAGAGCCACGAAGTTTATAGGGAAAACTTGGGAGTTCCTGGCTCTGTCTCAAAAGCTCAGGGCTTTTGTTTGATATCTCTCTTATCTTTTGCTCATCTCTGTAAGCTTGACTGTCTCTATTATCTGAGATCTACCTCAGGACTCATTTGTTCTCACCTGCTTACCAAGATGCCAATGGAAAGGGTCCATTTGCCTCTAGTGGGGAGCTGGAAAAGGCTCAAAACACAGCGTGAGCTTTCCAAAACACTTACCCTGAGACGTTCTCTTCCATCAAAACAAAGCCCAGAGAAGCGAGGAGCAGAGAGAGGACTTTGAAAGACATCATTTTCTTGGCTGGTTTCTCCGTTCAAAAGCGAAGGGCAGTCCGGGTGCCCGGCCCCTGGGACACATGGGACACATAAGTGACAGGACAGCGAACCCAGAGGGATGTGCGGTGGCTGGGCACGTGCCTGTGCTTGTAAATGTGTTTCTTCAGCCCTTGTGCTTGAAGCCTTCTCCACCCTACAAAGCCCTCCTCTGCCGTTCCCCGTTAAATTGCTTTTTCAATGCCAACGCTCTTTCCCGCCGTGGTGGCTTTTAATGCCGGTTCCCTATACTTTTATTGTAACCATCAAATTCATTGTGGGTTGCACATTCCCAGAGGCAAGGGCTTTGTCTTCCTCCATGTTTACAAGCTGACCCTGTGGGTACCTCATTGTGCTTTAAGGGTCGATTCAACGTTGAGCATGTGAACGGGAACGTACGTTGGATCAGGCAATTCAGTAGCAGCGGCATCCTGCTTATCCCGCGCCGCAGTTCTGCGGGATTTAGGAGCCTGATCTAATTTCTGGGAGGTTTTCTGTTGGGATGAATAATGCCTTATGTAGGGACCGGAGCCAGAGTCAGTGAATATCAGCTATGAAAAATATCCCATGGACAGTGACGGGATCAGATTCCAAGATTTATTAGTTTCAAGCTGTTCCTAGTCCTCACGTCCACAGTTCAGCTCAACAGCCCTTGGACATTCGAGCCCTTTTAATTACTATTCCAGCTCTGCAAATGCCGTACAAAAATGGTTTTGATCATGGCTCACAGATATATTTTGTTGTCCCTCACCTCGCTCTGTTATAGATATTTCTGGAAACTGCATTACAACGGAGAGCTGCTGTTAACAGGAATCGTGTAGTAACAAAAGAAAAGATCTAGATCAGGATTCAAGTACCCCATCCTTCAGAAATTTATTCCTACAATGATAGAACTTTACTCCTCTAAGTAGTTATTTGTACTCTTACAACAGCCCAATTATTGTTTTGGAGAGAGCGAGAATTTGCGGGTTCGGATGTTTTTTGTAATTGAGGCATTTTTTATCTCTGGAAAATTGTGACATCTTTTACAAATGTTTTCAGCCCTTTCTGTTAAGTGAGAAAAACACTAAATGTGTTACAATATCTCAGAAACATCAAATTTTGAGGTGTGCTCTTAAAAGCAAAGGTGTGATATTCTGAACACTGACAAAATCCCTAAAATACTTAGGGCTAAAGCAATAAAAACCAAATAGTTACAGAATGCTTTAACAGCAGAAGTAAATTCCATTATACGAAAAGCTGAGGAAGATTTTAAATGAGAACGGAAAAAAGCGTCATGATTAAATAACTGAGATTTTCCTTCTTGTTTGTGTTTCATTTCATATTTTGGTGGTATAACTGTGGGTATGATGATGAATCTGAAAATCGCTGAGTTGTGCAAGAATATTATTCTGCTTAGGTAATTGTTTATGACACTAGGAGAGGAAATGCATTGTAGCTTTAATTTTAAGAAAAGGCAGTACCCCTCCTCTGCAGGATTTACCCAAACAGGGAGGAAAAGCAGTCTGCATTTTCAGAGACTGTCGAAAACCCACTTTTGAGTTAATACAAGAGCCCTTTGCCTCCGTGACACTGACCTGGAGCAGCTGAGCTCTGCCAGCCCTGCCTGGCACAGAGTTTGCTGTGATACCTCCACTGGTTTGACCCTACAGCTTGACTCGTCACAAAAGGAGGAGCAACTGGTGGGATCTTTGCACCACGAAGGTCTTCCAGTGCCCTGTGCAATACTGTCTGCTTTGGAAGAAGCGTTATCCCTGTTTTGTCGATAGCTGGGAGGTCCCAAAAAGCTACTACGAACCGATTTTTCCCCGTTTCCCTGTGCAGCACGTGTTCAAACGCGCAGATGGCAGCCTGGCGTTTGCCGTGTACTGAATCCTCCTCTCTGAAATAACAACCTTTCCCTTTACAGCCCGACACGTACGCTGCTGAGGTCTTTTCTGCCAAAGCTACTGAGAAAACTCCCAGTTTTGCACCACTTTGGGAAAAACTCTGGTCCTGCTCTGCTACAGCTACTGCCCGATACTCGCAAACACTTTTCCTTCCCACCATTATCTTAGAGGGAAAAAAAGAAGAAGAAAAAGGGTAAAAAAAGGTTAAAGAGAGAGACTGATCGAGAGGTTCTTACCTTTCTGCTTCTCTGAAGCTGCCCCGAGGATTTCAGCCCGGTCTGGTGCTCGGAGGTGACCCTGTGGAGCTTTTATATACCTTAGCTGTGCAGGACCAAACCCACTTCCATGAGGTAAACAGGAAATCAAGCACCTGATCAAAGCAATTCGAACCCACTTAGAGCTGCTTCATTAGGTCCGTTGACCTAAAGAGCAGGAAAATAACCTTTTAAAATATGTTTGCATTAATGGCAATTAAACATCGCTGTATCACAAAATCAAGAATGAACGTGGTTTGTGGGCACGATACATATGGCATTGGTCTAAACCTTAGCTCATTGAGCACCTCCTTGTGTGGTAGAAACTTCCTTCATTTCCATCTCTTCTTTTGCTAAGTGCAAGTGGCATCTTGGAGAGATCCAATGTGCTCCTGCTCTTTCTTACAGGAAGAATAAATTTCCTAAAATCAATAGCTCCCATCATGGTTGTTTTTGTCACCATCAAGTCTGGGCATCTCAGCTGTAGTCTGCAACCCCTTATGCAAGCCCCAAACACTAAAACCAGCATCTATTCTTCTAAAACATGTGCTCTAAGAGGAGAAAACCTGGGAGGGAGAGTGGCAGACAGGAAACTAGTAGGAAATGGTGAGGCAGCATTGGTTAACGAGGTGGAGGGTGGTGGCACAGTGGCTGCCTAGGTAGGGTGAGGGATTGCATTGCAGCTGGGTTAGCCTGGAGCTGAGCACCTATTTGGGCTGTTTCTGTCCTGGGTGAGTGATGGAGTGGTTCCCTGTGGCTCTGCAGCTGCTGGAGACATGGGTCAGTGAGGCCACCACCTCACCCTGCCCTCGCGCAGCTGGGTCCAGCAGAGCAGATGTTCTGCAGATGTTCATGGTGCCATCAGAACACAAGGGGTAAATCCACTTCCTACCAGCTCTGCTGTGACTACGTGCCTGGTAAGATGCTCTCCCAGTGTCTGACCTGCCCTGCTTCCCCTGGGTCTCTCTGGGAGGACTGGATCCATTACATTTTAACATGTAAACCATCTTTAGGGACTGCAACCAGGTCTGTACCCGG